GGCGAGGAATTGGAAAACTTTTACCCATAAGACTGTCCCAAGGGAACCTAAAAATCTTGGACATAATAATATAGTGATTCTTGCCTTGGAGAGATTAAAAAAACACGGCGAGGAATTGGAAAACTTTTACCTATAAGACTGTCCCAACGGCAATGGGTTTGGAATCTCAGCCGACAGGATTTCACTTTGGCAGTTGAAAGTGAAACAGGCTTATGGGTAAAACAGGCTCTTATGATTTAAATAACTCCTATATTTTGTGTTTAGTAAATCAATAAATTTCGGAACATATTAATGAATAAGTTTATAATTTATTAACGCAGAATTTAAAATTATGAACTAATTAACACAAAATTGTCACTCGAGTAATCTGTTAAATACTTTTATAATTTGAAAGATTAAATAGATTTTAAAAATTAGTGACTAAATTTGTAATATAAAGTAAATAATTGTCGGTGAGATATATGATATTTTTGTACTCTTTGTTTATAAGAAGTAGAAGAAATATGATTAGACACAAACAGCTCTACACGAAACTCCTCAGTTTTGGTAACAAATATTAGGTGAAAATATATATTTTGCATCATATCTCTCACCATATTTCTTTTTAATTAAAGTTATGGACCCAAGCAGCATGTGATGATGGATACCCTTAAAGTCTTTCATAATAAACATTATTTATTTCATTTTTGTCGATATACCTGAAAAAATTGATCAATAGCTGATCCGAGCACAACTTAATAGATAAAGATACCAATTAATATCCAAAGAGTTCGTAACTCAAAGAAAGAAAATGTCTACCAATATCTGTTCATATCACGAACTTGATTCTCTTGTTTATGGGTTCCTACCTTTTTCCTTCATTCATATTTGTCGACTTTTACACATTTCTAATTATTTATTTATTTTTGTAAAAAATGGTAATACATGCACATGTTATGCTTATAAACTTAGATACAAATGTGTGATAACGAAGACAAGGAAATGTCACATTGAATCTGCTTTTGCCAAACAAGACATGCCTTTGAGTTCTATCAAGTACAGATTTAAGGAGAAATTCCACAAATAATGGAGTGAGCCAACTGTTGTAGGACGAAATTCACTATCCAATTTACCAGAGGAATCAATCTTAAAGAAACAAATCTAGTTTCATATCGTCTTATCCGCTCAGAAAACGATTCTTAAGATCAAAACTAAATACACAATTCAACGGGTCGAGTCCGATGGCTAATGAGCTAAGCATGGTGAATAAATTCAGCAAAACTTAGAAGTAAACAGAAAAAAGTTGGTATCTTACATGTTTCAAACTATGGGGTCACTCCTAGTAATAAATTGATCCGTTTCTTTTCACTTTGTTGTGGCCCTTGCACTCATAGAAGTGTGGTAATTGGTACTTCTTTGCTTCCTGTAAGAAGTATAAACATCATCATATTGACTATCCTCGTTTGGATTGGCCGATGCTCCGAGTCCTAACCTTCCTGAGCCTTTTCGATCTACGCTTCCATCAGCATAAGCACCCGTCTCTGGGTCAACCTGAAGGTTGGGAGGAGGAGGAATGCAAGCTCCACCCTTACGCACGGGCGGTTCTCTCTCGTACTCATAATCGTCATCTTTGGAATCAGAACTCATGGGTCCTTCTGAGGGATTAACCTCACCAATCTCTTTAAAGAACTTAGACACTCTCTCAAGAACTTCAGAGGGAGATATATTGGATGGAGGAATCATAGTTGGGATATCCAAAGGGCTCATGGGAGAATATGGGACTCCACTTCCAATCTGCATTTTTCTCACCATTCCAGGGATAAGACCAGGTGGGAACAAAGGATATGGTGGCAATTTTTCACCCACAGCAGCAGGCTGTGGTGGCATTAATTGGGCATTGGGCTGTTGGATTGGTGGTTGTACAGAAGTTGGCAAGGGAATGGAGCTTACAAAAGCAGCAGTGGGTATTGCACTTGGTAGAAACTGCTGTGGCGTCACGGATCTTGGCAGCGTTTGGCCTGCGGGAACAGTCTTATCGGGGTGCTCTTGATCGGGAAAACTTGGAATGGCACCTTGCCTGTCAGGTTGCCATTGGTGCACGGTAAGGTTATTTGTATGCGACGTCAATCCTGCGTGGCACCAAGAAGAAGTTTAACAAAGATTATAGCCATTTTACCTGAAAACATCATTATCTCACAGTAGTACTCTGCAAATGCACAGAGAAAATAAGAGATAAAAATGCGAGAGAGGCCTACCGGCAGCTGAATCTACTGAAGCTGGTGTCTCTTTTGGATGCCCCGGCAAAGCTTTTGTTGGTATCCCATTAATCATTTCACCCTCGAGTGTGTTAATAGTATTCTGATCATAAATCTCCTTGGACGCCCAGAATTGTACCAACTTCTGTAATTTCAACTGGCTTTCCTCCTTCATTTGAGGGTTGTGATATACTCTTGCAAGCATGGAACCTAAAACTGGTTCGAATGCTAGAGCTTCATTATCAAGGTCCTTTGCGTTGATTCTTCGCATCATGCTGCAAAATTTGGAAGAAAATTTAATGGGGAAAAAGCTCACCCTTCGAATAATTATGTTGTAGTACTGCTATCAGATTTGTATCAACACGAATGATGATTTATTGAATAGAACTTCTATCAGAACAAAAAGAAAAACCATCAACTGAATGTGATCAGGAAACGAAGTAATTAACTTGAATACAATCAATGCACTTCATTAATATTGACGCACTCATTCAAGAACCATTGAAGTAGAACATAAAACAATGTGATTCTATTTAAGGAGCAAGAAAGGAGAGAACATCCCTCACTAAAGGAGCAGTACTTTACAAAAGTTTTAAGAATTAAAGAAAGCTGTACATGGTGTTCAACAACAATCATGAACTGCAGCATGCTAAATGCACTAACCCAAGAAATTATAAATTTGAAATAACATTAATGAAAGCAATCATATGGTAGCGTACCTCTCAAAAAGAATGTCATTGACGAGGTAAATTATATGAAGTTGCTTCTCGGAATCATCTATGTTAAATACCATGTCTCTAAGTGCCTCGGCCATGGCTGGAGCAAAAGGAGACCGCTGCATGAACCAAGTTTTAGCACCTTTAATTGATTCTTTAGCACCAGTGAGATTACTAAGCACATTGTTGAGCTCCAAAGCAACATCAGAAGGAAGAGGTCCAGAAAGCCCTTTAAAAGATTTTGAAGATTGATCATAATCCGACCGACCAGGAACTCCAAAAGCCTGTTGATGGTGCTGCTGCTCGTAGAAAGAAGCAAAAGAAGTTTGATGCATTTGAGGACCCCCAATTATTGATGCAGAAGCATTCAATGGAGGAGCATTAAGGGGAGACGGACTTGTCATAGGATTTGGATGAGGGTGCAACATGGGCATGGATGAAGATGGAAAGGGAGGGTTGAAGGGTCCTCCAAGGTGGGGGCGAGTCATTAGCCAAAGCTTATATCGGTAGTAACCGTGCCCCTCCCCACCAAAGAGAAAGGCATATGCTGGGTTGTCCTGTTGCTTTTCACGTATCATGGATTCAAATTCAGGGCCATTCTTTATGATATACTCCACAAGTTTGTCTATCCGTTTCTGGAGCTCAGGGTCTGAAGGAGGTGGAACTGGTGGAGGAGCAGAATCATAGGGACCATGGAAAGGTGAATGACCCATGGGAGGGGGTAAATGAGGAGCAAAAGCTGGTGGTGGCTGCTGTTGTTGAAGATGAAGAAGGTGGGGGTGGGGTGGATGATGTGGGTGGGGCTGTGGCTGCTGCTGCTGCATAGGGTGGTGATAAGGGAACTGTTGCATAGCAGGATGCGGCGGTAGGAAAGGAGGACCTGGGACAGATGGAGGAAATTGTTGATGTTGGCCATGAAATCCAAATGGCTGCTGCTGTTGCAGATTAGTTGCCTGTCTCTGCTGTTGGGCATAAGCCATAGCAGAAGCAGCTGCATAATCTTGAGACTGCCGATCCATTAGCTATCGAGAATTCTCTATCAGTTATCAGCTGGATAACAATCTCCACAAAATCTTCAGTCTGTAGGCACAAATTTCGCAAAGAAACAGATAATTAATCATCCTCCAAGCAATCAAAAGCTATAATTTCGCAAAGAAACAGATCATTAATCATCCTCCAAACAATCAAAAGCTATAATTTCGTCCCATCCCCATTTCTTATCATCAAACAACTCCAAATTGAAAGCAAGTATTAGCAAACTACATTTGACTTACTCCTGAGAGTTCAAAAGTAAAATCCTCAAAAACAAGCATACACAAACCGCTTAGCTTGCAGTACTTTCGCACATCATTTACAGAACATTGCGAACAAAAATCCTATAATTTCTCTGTATCTTTTTCATCAAAATCTCAGCTACATAACGGAAATTCGTCCATAACAGAAAAAAAAAAAAAAAAAATTGTTTAGTGCCAGAACATATCTACACTAACCAGCGTCGTCTTTCACACAAGCCTCCAAGCTGCTTTGCACTCTTTCTTCGTTCTTGCGATTCCACGACGACTCCGACGAGCTCGGCGCCGGTCACCGCTGTAATTTCCGGTCTTCGAAATGGATCCTTAGGGCTTCAAGCGAACCTGCGATAAACGCATTCGCCCGGGTCCCGACTCTGAAATCGAACTAGGGAATTGATGCATTATTTTCTTTATTTTTCTATTTACTGTTTGTTATTTTAATTTAATTAAACTTCTATGATTTCTTTATTAATTTATTTTAGATTTTATCCAAATAAATATCTGCCCTTTAATAATTAATTTGTTTCTTACAATTGCACTTTTTAATAAATATTTAAAATGGTTAGTCAAATTTTAAAAAATTAATTTCAATATTAAAAAAAATTTAGAATATGTAAAATATTATTAAAATAACCATATATTAATTGAATTATATTTATGTTATTTTTGAAATTTTGTTTAGTAATAAATTTTCAGGAAGGAAAAAAAAAAAAAAATGACATGGCCCTAAAACCCTAATGGAGTGGCGCGAGAGCGGCTGCTTTGCTTAATCCCAAAACCTCTCTCACCCAAAAACCCCTTTCTTGGCGCCTCGGTTGTTTCTGAAACTTCCTTTGTTCTCTCTCTCTCTCTCTCTGTACTTGGAGGTGAGAGCGTAACCGAGAGAAGCTTGGAAGCGAGCGTGCTCGCCATTTGATTCTGCTGAGTTAATGAGGCAGCTTCAGAGGAGCTTGTTCATGGCAACTACTTCCAGCAACGCTATTTCTTCCTCTGTATTTTCAACAACTCCGTCTGCTTCGTTCTCGCGACTCCGTCCTTTGTTGGCTAAGGTTCTCATATTCTACCAATTGCTCTATGCAGTTTTTTTTTTTCTGATTTAGAGAAAAAAACATTTAAACTCTTGCGTTTTTGTCTAGAGAATTGTCTGGCAGCAAGTATTTTATTAGACCTTAATTTTATGAAATTTATGAAAACTTGTTTCATAATGATCAGTTATGTATCTCTATGGCGTTTGAAGAGTTGCAATTTTATACTGGCTTGAAGTCTTTTTAAATTTTTTTTTTTTTAACGCCAATCGAACTTCTGGTGTTGGACATTTTGGTTCGCTCTTTTGTTCGTTTTCTAATTGTTTTGGAGTAGCCTAGTGAATTTATATCTTTATCGCGGCGGTAGTATGTTTGCCACCAAGTTTTTCTTTGCTGTTTAATATGTTGTTTTGGAATTGTTTAATTCGTACTCTTACATTCAGATTAGATATCTGTTCGCAGCAAATATCAGAGATGAACAGTATAATTTTTTTTTTCTTCTGATAAAAGACAATTTCATTGATGATTGAAATTTACAAAAGGGATGTACCCATGGTGTTTACAAAAGACCTTCTCAATTTGCAATGAGGGAGGTATAACTATAGGAAGTAAGACAGTTTACACCAAGATATAACTTGCTAGAGAAAATGATAATGGTATAAATTTTTTAGAAACCAAGTGACAACAGTCAATACAAGCTTGCTGGAGAAAATGTTGGAAAAGTTGCAATTTTTATACATGCTTGAACGGTCAATACAATTTTTGTTGCTGAGCGTAAACTTCTGGCATTTGATCTTTTGGCTACTTTCGCTTACTTGTTCTTTTTCTGAATGTGTTTGAGTTGCCTAGTGAATTTATGTTTTTATGGCTGTGAGATAATGTGTTTTCTGCCAATCTCTATTTTTAGTTTCACCGCGCGTATTTGAGTTTTTAATTTTTAGATTCATTCACTCCCGTTTGTGGATTTGTCTTGCAGCAAATATTAGAAATGGACTATTATGAACAATTTTAAAATTTAATGTCTCCTAAGAAAATAAAAAACGTTCGAAAAGTTGCAACGCCATGTATGCTCTAATGTTTTAAATGCCATGCAAATTTCTGCCATTTGACAATTTTTAGTTACTTCTGTTGACCTTCTATTTCGAAATATTGTGGAGCAGCCCAGCATTCTTTTATTATGGTGATAATGTGTTATTTTGTTTGGTGTTTGCGTTACAGTTGCAGAGCAGGACTTTTCAAAATAATACTAGCAAATGCATACCCGTTTTACCTTTTTCCACTGTTTGTAATTACGCCAAATGTTCTCAGCTTGTTTTTAGAAAAAGCAGAGTAACATTTGCTGTCAAGACTGAACGTGCAAAGGCTGGGCAGTGTCGTACATGTGATGGGCCAAGTTGTGTTTTCACTCTACATTCCCGCTTACCGTTGGGATTTCATCATTCTGTTGCATCCCCAAATGCTTCTAAGCGACAGGTGTTAAATGGCACTTTTACACCTACATTACCTAATTATAGAGCTTTTGAAAAGAAGTTCTTTTCTCAATCTACAGAAGCATTGAATAAAACTGAGAATGAGAATGTTAAATATGCAAGTAATGGAACAAGTACATTCCCATCTGAAGGATTGAATAAAAAATCGAAGGGTGCCAAGCCTGTTGCTACATCCAGGAAAAAGCGAATTAGTGCTTCAGGGTCCACTGGCTCCACTAGTGTTGTTGGAACAAATTCAAGCGATCAGTTGGTTGGAGTTACCAAGGAGGCAGGTAAAGTTTCATCTAATTCTTCTTCATCCGTTAGGAAAGCATCCAAGGGTTTGAAAGAAAAGAACTCTGGGAGCAAGAAAAAGAAGGAAGCTATATCTCCAACCAATTCTTCAGATGTTGAAGCAGTATGCAAGGATAGTCAGTCAAAGAGCTTAGATAGTAGCAATGTTGATAAGAATGTTGTACAAAATCCGAAGGTTAGCAAATAGTAATTGATGGATGTTTTTAATCCATTTTTCCCTTCTCATTGCACTATTTTAACTAACAGTGCAATTTTTCAGAAAAAATCATCGGGGGGTACTGCCAAAGGTTCTGTTTCAACTACACAACAATCCAACAAGAAAAAAGGTAACTCGAGCAGAAAAAAAGAAGCTCAGAAAGATGCTAGTAAGTTGCCACAGAAGCCAAACCTTGTAGTGGATGCAAGGGGGAAATCTCGGGGAATAACAACTTTGAAGAAGCTATATCCCCCAATGGGAAAGTCTGTTATGGTGGTGGAATCTGTTACGAAGGCAAAGGTTATTCAGAATTATCTTGGTGATATGTTTGAGGTGCTACCTAGTCATGGCCATGTTAGAGACTTGGCTGCAAGGTCAGGATCTGTTAGACCTGATGATGACTTCAGTATGGTGTGGGAGGTTCCTTCCGCTGCCTGGACTCATCTCAAGAGCATAAAAGTTTCCTTAAATGGGTATGTATCTGGCTTTTGTTTTTAGCTTGGCCTGCATGCAACTGTATTTTTGGCTAACTTGATAAGGATTGTTAAGTTTACATGCGCACACACACATTTGTATTTCTTTTATTAAGTTTTGTTTGCTTCTTGTATATGGTTGACATTGTTGTGCATCTCTGTCATTTATTTTGTGATGTCTAAAATGCTTCTTTTCTCTTACCTCCAATTCCTAAAGTTTTAATTTTCTTTTCTTTTGCTGTGTATTTATTCCTCAGAGCAGAGAACCTTATTCTTGCATCTGATCCTGATCGTGAAGGCGAGGCTATTGCTTGGCATATAATTGAGATGTTGCAGCAGCAGGATGCTCTACATGAAGGTATTAGCATAGCAAGGGTTGTTTTTCATGAAATAACTGAGGCTTCTATCAAAAGTGCCCTGCAATCTCCTAGAGAAATTGATGCAAACTTGGTTCAGGCTTACCTTGCACGGCGTGCTTTAGATTATTTGATTGGATTTAATATTTCACCATTATTATGGAGGAAATTACCAGGTTGTCAATCAGCTGGGCGTGTTCAATCAGCTGCACTCGCCCTAATATGTGATAGAGAATTGGAAATTGATGAATTTCAACCACAAGAATATTGGACTATTGACATTGAGTTGAACCAAAAAGATCCTTGTTCTTCAGTGGAAGAATTTACAGTCCCTGCACATTTGACCCATTTTAATTCTAAGAAGTTAAATCAGTTTGCAATTAGCTCCACCACAGAGGCAAAGAATATAGAAACTGCACTAAAGTCAGTAAATTTTCAAGTTCTTAGTTCTAAAAAGAATAGAGTGCGGAGAAACCCTCCAATGCCATATATAACATCTACACTTCAGCAAGATGCAGCAAACAAACATAATTTTCCTGCAAGTTACACAATGAAGGTACATGGTAATTTTGTTTTGACTCTTGAAGTTCCCCATGATATAAGATAATTCAGTCATGTTGAGTTAAAATTTTACTTCTAAACAGCAGTCTGCCCCAAATAATTATTTCCCCTATTAATAACATGGTATCTGCTAATGTGTTACTGGATATTGATGTTTTATTCAGAGAGTTATTTATAAAGTGGGCAATTGTTCTAATATTAGATTTTGGGAGTGTTTTCCTTCACATCTATCTTCTAGGAGTTATCTTCGTTGGACCTTAATGATATTTTTAATGTGATTTGGAAATATCATTATCTTGTGAAAGTCAAAATCTTTTGCTGGTTTCTTGCGCTAAAGGGTCTTAATACTCTAGTGGATCCAAATTAGAAATCTTGTTTATTGCTTGTTTCTGTTTTTGATAGGGAATGGATGAAGTTGAAACAATTAAATAATCTGTTCTTATTCTGTTCTTTCTGGTGGCTTCCTTTTTGTGCTCTTCAAAACATATCAAGCCATAAATTGAAAGTGTACAATCTGAACTAAAGGTTTGGGGTAGATGAGACCCCTTGTGAAGGGAAACTATTGCAAGAAACACCTCCAATTGAGGTTGAGGGGAAAAGTGCCGTGGCAACAAAAAAGGTTACTTGAAGGACACTCCAAAAGTTCAATATCAAATAGATTAATATAATAATAGAACTATTCTTGTCCGACATATTTTTACTCTTATTCTTATCTAAATCCATTTTCTTTTATAAATGGTGCGTATTGTGGAATATATATACCTATTTTCTTTTAACTGTGTCCCACTACGATTTTATGCTGTTAGAATTAGTTTGACCTTAATTTACTCTCTGATTGTTTTCCTGGTATGATGCCTTTTGCTTTCACCTTTTTTATGAATGTATGAGGGGTTTCATGCATGATTGAAGACTATAACGCTGTAGTTTTTTATTTTATTTTATTTTATTTTTAATATTTTCCTTTTCCTTTACTTCTTACAACTTAGAAATATAGGGGGGCATTTTATGCTCCTGTCACTTATATAACTTTCTATGCAGCTTGCCCAGAAACTTTATGAGGGAATTCAACTTGCTGATGGAAAGGCAGCTGGCTTAATAACTTATCCAAGAACAGATGGGCTACATGTAAGAACTTTTTTGCCTTCAACTATACCTCCATACTATTTCTTGTTATTTCTTTGGCAAGGCAGCTTGGTTTATCTTGTTGCCAGTAGTCTCTTTTTTCCTATTAATTGTTTTGGGATTTTTATTCATTCTTTGATGTTACCTGTATAATTCTTCATATCAATGCATGGAAATAAGGCCTTAAGAATGTGTGTTATGTATGCAATTAGTTCTTCGGTTGACATTCCATTTCATTTTTGTCCTGGTTCATGCTGTTTTGTCATATTAAACAATCTTAGGTGCATCTGGTCTAAACATCTTTGCTTGAACTACTTCCTATTTCAGATCTCTGATGAAGCTGTTAAGGACATTCGCTCCTTGATTAAGCAAAGGTGAAAGTTCAAAATTCAACTTCCCTTTTCTTTGTAACTTGCACGAAAAGTTATGTGACAGCTTTTTTAGGCAAATTGATTTAGAAGAAGGCTCTTTATGTTTGTAACTTTACTATAGCTGTAGCGTTCTTTCACTTGGGGATAATCTTCATTTGAAATTTCAAGGTGCAATTTGAATTCCCTCCATCCTATAAGGTTTTAGGCTTCTAATTTTTTTATTCTTCAAAAACTTACTGTTTGCAGATACGGGGAGAACTTTGTCTCAGAAAGTGCACGCAAATATTTTAAAAAGGTCAAGAATGCTCAAGAGGCTCATGAAGCAATCAGACCCACTGATGTGCAACGATTACCCTGTAATTATATAATTTTCTGGCTAAATAATACTTGATTAGGGAATATATATGAGTTGTTCTGTTCTAGTTACCTGCTCCAACTATGTCCACTTGTAAGATTATTGCTTTAGCCTTCCCATTTTGGTGAGAACGTTATAACCAATTAGTGTTCGTTTTATTTCATTGAATTCACTTCCAGCAATGCTAGTGGGAACACTCGACGAAGATTCTCACAAACTATACTCTCTTATTTGGCTCAGAACGATGGCATGTCAAATGGAACCTTCTATCACTGAACAGGTCAGAATGCATGCCCATTACAATATTTCTCTTCTCTTTTTCAATATTTTGCATATTTCAGTTTGGAATTGATAAATTTAACACACGGACGGGAGGCTTGTATAATAAAATTTGCATTATTGATTCCAAAATTTTATTAGTTTTTCTTATTAAGAAGATCTTATCATGACCCTTTATCATACAAGTTTTTGTTTATTATAAAAAAAACATCAAGGCCCTATTTTATTCAAGTTCTTGTTTCTTATGAAAAAACTCAAGATGCACTTTCTTTTAAGAAAAATATTTAAGGAATCTACTGATTCCTAAAGCCATGATACAGAAGAGGCAAATGGGTTGATACTGAGGACAACCAAATCCTAACCGAGAGAATTAACAATAATATAAGACGTTTTACCAAGTTCATAAGTTCTGGTAGAGATACTTGGGGCAAGAGCCACCCTGACTTGAAAAGGCGCTTATTTTGGCGTAGAGTGGGCTTTTAAATCAAGAAAGATTGTGCATAACTTTTCAACTGTTGATGACAGTTCGTGTATCTTTTTTTTTTTTTTTTTTTCTGGGTAAAAAATGAAGTAATTTCTGGTTGTTTATTAGAGCGGACTATGAGTTCACAACTTCTCTTTCATGGCATGTATTTATCTACTTTTATTTGTAAATTGTAGTTTACTTCAATTTTGGTTGCACATCTGCAATTTTCTTTTTTGTTTATATATGTTACCAGATTCAAATTGACAGTGGACTTGCGGATGAGTCCATCATTTTCCGATCTACATGCTCAAGAGTTCAATTTCGTGGCTTTCAAGAAGTTTTTGAGGTATGATAGTCTAGTCATGCTAAGTATTCTTGAAAGAGAGAATGATTATTTTGTTTACTTGCATGTAACGGATGCTTATCTACGTTAATTCTTTTTTTTTTTTAAATTGTTTTAATTTTTGTAAAAAACTCTTATGAAGTTTTTTGGTTATCCATTAGGATAAATTTAATGAATGAAATTGCATCCTTCTCTCGAAGATCACTTTAATGATATGAATGTTATTAAGGGTACATTAGTAATTAGATAGGGAGTTTATTATGGGGGTAGGTTACAAACAGAGGGAGGGGAAGGAGATATTAGATAAACATGGGGTTCCATCTCAATACCAATTGGCAAAGAGAGGAGTAACCCATGTATCTTATAAAATTGTGAAATTTCCCCGTCTTCCCAATGTGGTATTCTCAACATGCCCCACGAGATGGTGTCTCTTTGGGTTCACCATTCTTGGATCAGATCCCAATTTTTTTTTGGATCAAATACCCGTTTGGGCTTTATGGACCATGATACCATATTAGATAAACATGTTGCACTATCTCAAAATCAATTGACAATGAGAATGGTAAACCATGTATCTTTAAAATTGTGAGGTCTACCCATTTTTCCAATGTGGTATTCTCAACATGCCCCTCTAGATGCTCTCTTTTGATTCACCATTCTTGAATCGGATCCCAATATATATATATATATATTTTTTTGGATCAAATACCGTTTGAGCTTTATATACTAAGATACCATATTAGATAAACTTGAGGTACCATCTCAAAATCAATTGACATTGAGAGTAGTAAACCATGTATGTTATAAGGACTGTGAAGTCCCCCATATTTGTGGGATCTTCAACAGAAGATATAAAAATTATTTTGGTTAGTGAATTAAGGCTTGAGAATGATCCCAAGAAGGAAGGGTTTACGTACTTCAAAACACACGGTTTATCTTGTAGTTGTGTTCTCTTTTATATTTCTCTGTATTTGGGTTCTATCACTCAATTCAATCAATCTTGTCTGACTTTTCTGTCAATGTTCCATAAATATTTAAGATAATGATAGATTAAGTTATTTAGATACTTGGGGGTTTTCTTTGGAAGGTCCATGGAAGAGAGGGTTGTCTGGATGATTGGAAGTAGCCCTTCCTCCCAGTGAGTTGGGTGGCTGGGCATTAAGAACGTCACAAAATATTTCTATCGGAATAATGTTTTTGGAGTTTCCATCTTGTAAGGAAAGCCCTTTGGCATAAGGTTGCAGTAAGTATGAGATTGATGGTACGAGAAGGGTGTTCAATGGTTTGTCTTGCTTTTTAGATTACCTTGCATTAATATAGTAGTTAGTAGTCTCTCTCGCTTAAACACGTCTTTCTGTTTTCATATTTTTGATCTTACGTGCATATTAGCTCTTAAACAGATATTGGCAAGGAATGTTTGAATATGACTGTTTTCTGATTGAAGTACCTGTTAGCTGTTTTTAGTTCTAACTGCTCAAACCATGTATTGTAGCTTCCACATCCAGTTGGAGTTTGCATTCTGAATGTTTTTGAAATTATTACCAACTATTCATGCTAAATGGTCCTACTTTTTGTGAGTTTCGAGGGGTGTTTTATCTGGGAGGACATCTTATCTACCCTCATGCTTGCCCATTATTTCTCCTTAAGAACGTGCTTCTTTCTTAATATTCGGTCTTTGTGGGGCTGGGGTTCTTTTGGATTCTAAAGATCTAATAATTTGTCAGGATCCAGAAGTTGATGCAATCAGACATAAAGACCATGAAGAAAATGAACGGGACGAACTTTTTAGAATTCTTAATGCACTGAAGGTACAAGGTTTTATATTGTTGCTTCTGGTTGGTATTTTTGTTCTTTGTAATATCTACTAGACCGTAACCTATTTCTATTTGGTAGAAAAATTTATGATGTTAAGCATCTATGTACATGAATCTATTACTGAAACATCGAAGAAATTCTTTCTATTTGCTTTTTTCCTACTGCAAGGTGGCATGTATTTGGAATTTCCAATTAATTGAGAAATTTTTCTTCTTACTTAATCCTCTCCCTTTTGCATGCTCGCAATTTGTCCTTGAATATTATTTTCTAATGGTGATTGCAATAGTACAGATGGTACAGAAATGTATATTTATTAACCAGTTATTTTTTAGTCAGGGGATCAATTGTCTCTAGCTGCAGTTGAACTCAAGCAACATTTTACCCAGCCCCCTCCTCGCTATTCGGAGGGAACATTGGTAAGTGCTGCCTAACTATTAGACCCGAAATTTTGAGCCTGTAATAACTGAATACTTGAAAACTATTATTATTGTCACCCATCTTTGAGATTCAAAAGCTTTCGCCTTTTAATTTTCTTTTTAAAAAAATTATTGGAAAAAATTGGGTTTCTGACAAATGCAGAACATTGGTGTATATGTCTTGTTCTTGTCGTTGCCATTGTTTTCTTAATTCTTTTATTATTTTCGCTTGTCACTATGTTATATTCACCCATCTGCATCTCTTTATTTAAATGTATGCCTTTTTCTCATGCTTAACTCATTCTTCATTTATAATATATATGTGTGTGTGCGCGCACAAATATTTTAACCATAAACAACTTCTCATTGATATAGTTAAAAGGAATAAATGTTCAAGGGATGCAAACTCTCCAAATGGAGTGAAAATAAAGTAAAGAGAAAATATAAAATCATGAACTTAGAGGCAAATACAAATTAAATGAGGCTAGCCATGAAGGCAATGAGTGCAGAACGAAAGGTATTAACCAAAAACAAATCCAGGAGATACTAATAAAAAAAATAATGAAGATATAATTCCTTTTTATTATATCTAAATTATAATTCTGAACTTAAGATGAGTTCAAGAGCTTCAAATTCTTCATGTATGGTTCAAATAGTATAGAGAACCTGGGGTCGGACTTCCCTTTTTTCAGGCTGGTAACTGAACAAAACCCAATGGTAGAAAAATTTCAGCTTCGCATCTAGTTATGGAAATTTAAGTTGTTGGATGTAAAACAATAAACATAAGTACTGGTTTTTCTTGAATATGTAGGATATATTTTCAATTCAATTTTGCTCCTCTGCCCCACCAGATATAGGATATAACTTTTGGGGTTATTTTGTAGGCTATGATCTGATTAGACTTATATATGGTTTCTCAGATATAGGATATAAACCCCTCATAATGTAAAGTGAACAGGCCCGTTTTGCATCTGTCTAGTTTTCTGTCTGAAATTTTCTTATTTCACTGGAACTGGATATTACAGGTTAAGAAGATGGAGGAGCTAGGGATTGGGAGACCTTCCACATATGCAAGCACATTAAAAGTTTTACAGGTTACTATAGATCATTGCAAACAATAGATTTGAAATTTTTGTCTTTTATTATTCTGTTTTATGAAGTTCGAATTTAATGGATGATTGCATCCTATCATTGTGAGAAATATCCCACTCTTGGATTCCTACCCTTCCTTTCTATGTTTCATCATATCAATAAAATATTGTTTCTCATAAGAAAAACGTGTTGAGGAATAGCTTAGGACATAAGTGTTATGAATGTCCCATTTTGTGTTCTGAGAAGATAACTAGTTTCTTTCTGCTAAGTATCTGTTATTGCTTCTCGGAGGATCGAAGAATATTACTTTTGCTATCATAATTTCAAAACTGAATGTCAATACTCCTTTCCAGTCTTTGTACAAAATATGCCTGGTTTCCTTTCCACATTGAAGTGACCGTACAGATTTCTTAAACAGAACTTGTTTTGGCTTTCAGCTAAGGGGTCACGTTTTTAGTTGTATTTGAATCGCGTTCAAACATACTGATAGCCTTTGGGTCCTCATAGCCCCTACTCTCTTATTGAATAAAATTAGCGTTGAACTGCAATTACGCATGTTAAATTTCACTACAAGCCAATCCATAACGCATGTTAAATTTCCTACAAGCAGAGGACGTGGTTGGTTATCTATGTTAACAGTTTCAAATTTTACATGCCTTGATAAACATTTTATGTATTCATCAATGATAGATTACATTGTAGTGTAAGGTGATCATGAACAGAACTTGGATCTCTTTTTTAGGTCTGCCTATAATGTCTATGACACTTTTGTTGATTCCGACGTACCTTTTCACGTTATTTGTTTACAGTTTAATGATGATACATACACTTGCTTCTGATTCTTTGATTCATTTTACTTTCAGGACAGGAACTACTTGTCAGTGAAAAGTCGTGTTCTACATCCAGAGTTTCGTGGGCGCATGGTATGCTTGTAACTCTTTATCACATTGAATTCCAATTCTACAAAATTTAATTTATTGCCTTTTCACAGCCCCATTTAGGATGTAAAGAATTGCATCTTATGAACAAGTCATTTTTTAACTCCTTTGCTAGCATCTTAGAAAGTAGGTGGAGGGTCAAACAGAAGTTCCATTATCCACTATATCTTATCAGTACTGGTCCTAGACAGAACTGCAGGTTAATTATTGAAAGACACACCCAGAAGTTATTATTAAGGAAGAGAACAAAGGTTGCACTCGGTAGCATATTGCTGCGTTATTTCGCAACTGATAGTTCATAGGAGTGTTTTTCTGAAAAGGGTTTTTTTTGGTTGTTTATTTTTCTAGGTATCCAATGAAAGATTTTCTTTTACTTGAAAAGAGAATATTTAGTTACAGCAAAGGCCATCATGTAGAATATGATGAACCTATGACTTTATAGGCATTTGAGTTTATTGATGAAATTATGTCGGGAAATGTGTCTGTCGACATATTCATAAATCCAAGTTATGGGTCAGGATAACCGGGGTATAATCTTTTTTCTTGAAAGTTGTCAACATTTTGTCAACAACATTGACCAGGATATATTTGTTTTCATTACAATTCTATTTTGGGTTGGGTTCAAATCATATGGTAGCCAATGTTTTTCAAGGCGCAAAAAAAAATGCTGGCTTCTTTTTTTTATTTTTTATTTTTTCCGAGGTGCAGTATATAAGAAATATACATTAAGAATGGAGAGCATAGTTGAAGTGAGAATATGAATAAAAAACCCTAAACATGAGTTTCTGCATTTAGGGTTAGTAGATTATTTTTTAATTAACAAAAAGAAATAAATCCTTATAATTATTATTGTTTTAAAATAATGAAAAAGCCCTATGAACCAGGCTTCTTCATTTGACTGTGCCATTTTATCTGCAAATTGTATTTATGATGTGCAAATTTTCATGAGGCCTATTTTAATTCTTATTTTCCTCTTTCCATCTTTTGTGATTTAAGGTGTCCGCATTTCTTTGTCATCATTTCTCCGAGGTCACTGATTATAGTTTTACTGCAGACATGGAAAATGAGGTGAGTCCAATTGTTACCGAAGTTTTTCTACTTCCTACTGCCACATATGGGATCACAATCATACATTTTTTGTGTTCTGCCTAAAATATAGTAGCTCGTCGTTTGTATTGGGTTTGGTTGACATTCACAAAAGTCACCCGATGTTCAAGCATGAATACCTCATTATCTTTACGGGAAATCTCAAATTTTAGCTAATGTTCTAGTTTCTTTCTTCAGCTTGATAACGTCTCTGCTGGTTTAACTGAATGGAAAGGCCTCCTAAAAGATTATTGGACACGGTTCAGCACATATTGTGAACGTGCTAATAATGTTCATATTCATCAGGTAACATACACCTAGCCTTTCTCCTGATGAATGCTTCAGCTGTAACACCAAAGCTGTCTGATATTTCAGGTGGAAAAGATGCTGGAGAAGAAATATGAGGACTTCTTATTTTCTTTTCTTCCTGATAATTGTAGATCATGTCCAAGGTATGCGTTTGCCTATTTTTCATCCATTTTATCACCAGGTTTTGACCTCTTTGATAATAACACTGATGGTTTTTCTTCACATTTAAGTGATCTAATAAAATGTCATATTCCCAATAAAAAATAGTAAGTATTGTGCTCACTTTTAGTTCTTTTTCTTTCAGTTGTACGGAGGGCACTCTGATCTTCAAAGTTAGTCGGTATGGTGCAGGCTATTTCATAGGTTGTGATCAACACCCAAGATGCAAGTAAGTTTGAAAAGGAATAATTTAGTTATAACTTCTTCACTTTAGTTTGGATGAGTAAATTTTTCTCATGATCCCTCTACCATTCGGTCATCGAGGGGAGAATTTATCGCTTTTGCCAATGTCCTTCAAAGTTCAAACAATCAATTATGTTTCATATCAACAGGCTAAATGGTACTCGACTTTCTTTTTGTCATCAGATATATTGCAAAAACATTATATGGTGAGGATGAAGAAGAAGTTACTCCTCAAAATAACCAGAGTGTGGAAGAGCCAAAGTTGCTTGGTCTTCATCCAGTTTCTAGTGAAAAGGTTGCGTTTACCGCCGTTTTTTTTTTTTTTTTTTTTCATACATTTGTTCATTCTATATGGTTTTGTTAATTATAAGAATGTTTCCTTTCAGATTCTTTTGAAGAGTGGTCCATATGGGTTTTATGTGCAGCTTGGTGAGGACAGGAAAGGGTACATGCCCAAAAGAACCTCTGTTTCCCAGGTATGAGGTTTTCTTTTCTTGTCTTATAATTTAGACGGAGCGAGTTCTTTGTTTGCCACGATTTACAATGAAACTCGCGTATATTTTCAGATTAAAGAACACAACTTTTTTGTTAATGTCTGAAAACTTTTTTGTTAATGTCTGATTAGATACTCTTTAATTTCTTGTAAATTTTGATTCAAGAGTGGCTCTTTGTCTCTTCCAGATAAAGGACGTGGACTCTATTACTCTTGAGGACGCCCTTGAACTATTACGCTACCCAATTACTTTGGTATATTTTCATTCTCTGTACATATCATCTTTCTTTCTCCTTTAAAATAAAATTCTTCTAATCTTTGTGGAACACTTCTTGATAGGGAAACCATCCAAAGGATGGTCAACGAGTGTTAATAAAGATCACGAAAGCTGGGTTCACAGTTAGGCATCGACGCACGATAGCTTCCGTTCCCAAGGTCTTTTTTTCGTTCCTCCTACTTTCATTTTTGTTATCAATTTCCCTTGGATGGTTATTAAGGATATAATGCTTTATAGCCCATTTTATTTGTTTTTGTTCAAACTAAGGGTTTAGTTTACAATTACTTGAAAAGTTGTGTTATTCCGATGACAGAACTTGAAGCCAAATGATGTCGATTTAGCGAAAGCGTTGGAGCTTCTGTCGAGCGAAGATGTTAGAAGGTGTGGGCGACCTAAAAGCAAAGCAAAAGCTGAGGAAGCTGTTGAAGCCATTTAGGGCTTCTCAATAGAGGGGATTATGTGCGGCCTTTGGCTTATTTATTCATTTTTGTCAGCTACATGACGCAGGTTCTTTAGTAGGAATTTTGACTTTATTGTAATTTTGCAACGGGAAAAATACAAAAAAATATACTTTAAATAAATGTAAACAATTGGATTTACAAACATGGTTAACCCTTGTCTAATATACAATGAAATGAATTAAATAATGAATAAATAATGAACCAAAAACATATCCAAATTTATATTCACAAACTGCATTCCCTTCCGCATCAGACCAACTTCCAACAAAGCATCACTTGATAGAGATTTGATCCAAATAAGTTCTTCTTGGGCTATCAAATACTTCCTTGAATCAAACATGCTTTCAATGATAATAAATTGTGTGGTATCTACCTTGCCTTCAAAATAACTTTTTGTCCCTTATTTATCTTTTCCACCCATCAAAAAGTTGTCGTCGATGGGTTTCTCGAGCTATTGTATGATTGCGGTGACGATCCCTGTAATAGATTTAACGTGAAAGATCATGTTTGGAAGTGTTTTTAAAATAGTTTATGCTCGTCAAATGAAGAAAAAATGATTTTAAAAATGCGAAAAGAACTCGTATACAAAAGTGATGGTTGAACTTACAAATTGAAGAGAAACTTGGCTGTTGCTGCGAGAGGGGCTTATGTCTCCCCCCATCAGTGTTGGGTGCGTTGTATCTTCTGCAATAGTTCTCAACCTGTTAAGCTCTGGAAGGATGGCCTTACCAAGATCAGGCCTATCTTTACGTCGTAACTCGGCACACTTGAGCGACATCTTGGCGAAAGACAAAGCTTCTTGAATAGGCCAATCAAGGACGGCTGGGTCGAGGATAGTTTCAAACGTCCCATTCTCGATAGCTCTTTCGACATGGTGAGTCAATCCCATTGGTGGCCTAGAAGTGATCAGTTGGAGAAACATGATGCCTAGCGAGTATATGTCGGATTTCACACCAAGCATACCTGTCTGCTGATACTCGGGATCAATGTAGCAAAATGTTCCAGCGGTCGATGTCATTCGATATTGTGTTACACTATTAGCAATCGATGGCGGTACGAGCCTAGCCAAGCCAACATCACTGATCTTACTGACAAAGTTACGATCGAGCAGAATGTTAGCCGGTTTGAGATCACGGTGCACAAGAGGCTCTGGCTTTGTTTGGTGCAAGAACAGCAATGCTGTCCCAATTTCAGCTGCAATTTTGAATCTGAGCTGCCAAGAAAGTGGTGGCGTGTTTCCTCGTCGAAGAAGTCGGTCTTCTAAGCTCCCATTAGCCATGTACTCATAGACCAAGCAGCCATACTCGGGGCAAGCTCCGAGGAGGAGAACCATGTTCGGATGACGTATACAGCTGAGTACTTCTACCTGTGAACGGTTATCTTTCACGTTAGCTGATGAGATTCCCTATGGTCTTACTTTTCAAAAAAACTGTTAGCTGAGAGTTATGTATGGTAACCGACCTCTTGTTTAAACTGCGATCGTCCTTGAGTCGCATCGGGACGTAGAACCTTAATGGCAACGGGAGTATGATCAAGATCACACCTGTAAACAGGACCATAGCCTCCTTCTCCGATCTTACGAGATTCAGCAAAGAATTCCGTTGCCACTTCGATCTCGTCGATTGTATACTTCCTATACCTGATATCATTGTTTGCCAATGCATCAACTGCCTTTTTCTTCTCCTCAGCTTCTTTGAGTGCTTTCATTTCAGCCTTCATTCTTTTCTGTCCTTCCAATTCTGCAATTCTCCGAGCCGCTTCAGCTGCCTCGATGGCTGCTTTCGACTTCAACTTCTCCTGTTCCGCTAGCGCTAATGCAGCTTCCCCGGCCAATCTCGCCTCCTCTAATCTCTGTTCTTCTTCTAATTTCCATCGTTGTAGCTCGACCGCCTGCATCACAAACCGAAGATATGATGTTGCAGCCATTGGCACGTTAATCAATCGACTTCGCATACCTTTTGTTTGGCTGTAAGAGCTTCCTTGCAGGCTGTGCTGTACATTTCCATAGTTTGCTTGAGTTCTAGCCTGAGCCTCCGCATCTCGGCCTCGACGTCTTCCTGCACACCATCGTATAAAAGTTCATCTAAAACATAGTTTCATTTCATCTGATGAAAATTTTATGCATAGACAACAAAGTGACTCAAAACTTACCATAGACTGTGACGAGATCGAAAGTCTGTCACTGTCTTGCGAGATCGAAGAGAACTCGGACGAAAAGTTCATATCCGCTGACATCCGTCCCATCTGTAGAGACTCAAAGCTATGAGGTAAGTCAAAATCTGTACTGCTTGAAACCTGTGGTGGTGTGGATCTTCCTCCTGTATCTTGACTATCATAAAGTGAAGGAAATATACGATCGATGCTCGGTCTTCCGGAGCTAACGAAAGATATATCCGATTCTTGCGTCGGTAAATCTCCATATGATGATGGTTTGTAATTATATCCTTTCCTTGTGAATGGTGACCTGCATCCAACAACATTTTGTTTAACATGATATCATTGTAAAAGTGATGTGTTGTTCTTCAATATTAATAGCTCATGTGCTAAACTTCATGCAAATATAATATTCGAGCACGCATACGAGTACAGTACTAACGATGAAAGATCTAATTATTGAATGTAACAGTTTAAGCTCACGGTTAGTAGATATTGTCCAGTTCGGCCCGTTACGTATTGCTATTAGCCTCACGATTTTAAACACACGTCTACTAGGGAGAGGTTTCCCACCCTTATGAGGAATGCTTCGTTCTCCTTTACAACTGATGTGGGATATTACAATTCGCCCCCTTTGGGGGCCAGCGTCTTTACTGGCACACTGTTTGGTGTCTGGCTCTAGTACCATTTGTAACTGGGGCTTTCCTCAAGGTTTTAAAACGTGTCTATTATGAAAAGAGTTTAGCCCAACTTCAACCAGTGTCTTGCACCGTCCGGTGACTGGCTTTTATACCATTTGTAACAGCCCAAGCCTACCGCTAGTAAATATTGTTTGCTTCGACCCGTTACGTATCGTCGTCAGCCTCACGGTTTTAAAACACGTCTACTAAAGAGAGACTTCCACACCCTTGTGAGGAAAACTTCCTCTCCAACCGATGTGGGATCACACAATCCACCCGCCTTGGGGGCCAGCGTCTTGCTGGCACACCACCTGGTGTCTGGCTCTAATACCATTCGTAACGACCGAGCCCAACGCTAGCAAATATTGTCCTCCTTGGGCTTTCCTTTTTGGGCTTCCTCTCAAGGTTTTAAAACGCGTTTACTATGGAGATGGTCTAGCCTTATTCTGACCAGTGACTCGCACCGTCCGGTGACTGGCTCTAATACCATTTCTAACAGCCCAAACCCACCACTAGTAGATGTTGTTTGTTTCGGCCCGTTACGTATCATTGTTAGCCTCACGGTTTCAAGACACATCTACTCAGGAGAGGTTTTCACACACCTATGAGGAATGCTTCGTTCTGCAAACCAATGTGGGATCTCACAATAAAACACGTAAAGGGTCACACTCACCTCATGAAATCGGTGTCATCCTGCACTTTACTTGGCAGATTACATGGCAGATTACATGGCAGATTACATGGCAGATTACATGGCAGATTACATGGCAGATCAAGGGGTGGCCTATCCGCAGACGCTGCCAACAAATTCAGCATTAGTTTCATGGAGAATATTGGAACAACAGACATATCAAGTAAAAGGAAATTGTATTGAAAGAAACTACCTCTTGCACTGGCAGAGTGAGTCATCTGGATCTCGGGCGTATCGGATTTCGTGCTGCTTTGTTGAGCTAATTGACTTCGTAGAGGACTAATCACTGGAGCGGGACGAGATGCCGAACGCATCGATTGAACTTTCCCTTTAGAAATCACAAACACATTACAAAAATCTGGTGCTCCTTTTACTACACTGCCAGGAACATCGTTTGTCTTGAATCTGTTCCATACCAAATGAAAATCGTTCCAAATTAATGATATCTACAACAAACTTCAATGCTTTTCCCGAGCACAATATGGTCTAAAAATGTAACTGTCCAAGCCCACCGCTAGCAGATATTGTGCTAGACTTTCCAGGCTTTCCCTCAAGGTTCTAAAATACGTCTGCTAGGGAGAGCTTTCCACACCCTAATAAGGAATGTTTCGTTCCCCTCTTTAGACTTTCCGGGCTTTCCCTCAAGGTTCTAAAATACGTCTACTAGGGAGAGGTTTCCACACCCTTATACCTTATAAGGAATGTTTCGTTCCCCTCTCCAACCAATGTGGGATCTCATAATCCACCCCCTTGGGGCCCAATGTCCTCACTAGCATATCGTTCAGTGTCTGGCTCTGATACCATGTGTAACAGCCCAAGCTCACCGCTAGCAGATATTGTCCTCTTTGGACTTTTGCTTCTGGGTTTCCCCTCAAAGTTTTAAAACACATCTACTAAGGAGAGGTTCTCACACCCTTCTAAGGAATGTTTCGTTCTCCTCTCCAACTATTGTAAGATCTCACAATCCACCCCCTCGGGAGCCCAACGTCCTTGTTGACATACCATCCGGTGTCTGGCTCTGACACCATTTGTAACAGTCCAAGCCCACCACTAGCAGATAAAAAATGCTTTCCCTTCTAGGCTTCCTCTCAAGGTTTTAAAACGCGTCTATTAGGAAGAGATTTCCACACTCTTATAAGAAATGTTTCGTTCCCTCTCCAACCGACGTGAAATCTAACAAAAAGTGATTAAAACATGCCCCAAGCATAAAACAGAAACTAGATTGTTCATGGGTCGGGTTCAAAAGAACATTTTCAACTCAACCCAATCATTTGGGCTGGAATGATCGAGTTTTTTGGGTCATCGAATTTTTGAACAACGTGTATGAATAGGAGAAAAAACATGCCTTAAGAAGCCAGATTTTGCTGAAGCTCCCATAACAATGTTCTCTATGGCCTTATTTGCTGCATACTCAATTATGGCCTTTGCTGCATCTGTATCTTCCAACACAACATCCATGCATTGTATCTGTAACTCACAACAAAACATAATTCAATTTTATGAACAAATTTGGATGTTCAAAAAATAAGTAAACAAAAAACTTACATCCTTCCGAGTACAAAAGCAACGAAAAGGAAGGAATAATTCTTTGATGCTGGCTTCAGAGTCAGATTTAGAGCTCATCTCTGCACTCAAAAACAGCTTCATCTTACCAAACATTGCAACTTAAAAGACTTGCGACCGAATTCGAACCCGTCACAATTTATTAAGGCATCTATCCTAAGCGTGAAACGTTTAAATCTCTTCGTAAGATCGAAGAGAAAATGCTCTACCTACAAGAAGTCATTGACGATCTCTTCGTAAGAGCCCAAATCCACTACTAGCAGACATTGGTCTCTCTAGGCTGTCCCTTCTGGGCTTTCCCTTAGGAAGAATGTTTCCACACCCTTGTAAAGAATGTTTCGTTCTCTTCCCCAACCAATGCGGGATCTAACACTCTTGGACGATTGGTTTTTTGTTTCTAAAAAGTAAGCTTATAAAAACTAAAGACGTTTTCAAGATTCATGTCAAGTTTTGTTAAAAGCCGTCTTTTAACAGACCACGGTATACGAACGGTGAGAAAATAAGTACAATTTTTAACACGAAAATAAAAGGTTTAGAGAGAAAGAGAGAGTACTTTGGGAAGAATTAGAAGGGGATCTGAGTTTGACATGAATGAGGAAAACTGATTGACCCCTTTGAAGCAAATAATCAACGGCCCATTTGAGAGCCCCTTGGCTTCCCTTGTCTCTGTCAATTGCCACAGCCACAATTCCCTTCACATCCAGTTTCTCTTTCCTCTCAAGCCCGTATCTTGGTAACCACATCCTTTATTTCTTCCCCCACAACAACAAAAAAACCAAACCAAACCAAACCAAACCAAACCAAAAACAAAAACCGAACCCGGAGAACCCAAAACAATTTCGAGTTCTCCGATGTTTTTGTTTTTGTTTTTGTTTTGGTCGCTTTTGCTTTTGTTCTGTTTTTCAGGTTCTAAACCTCCAAACAGACCCAACAAAGATATGGTTTTTTATTTCCATTTTTTTCAAAACCATCGTTGAATTCAATCACCTAATCACTTTCTCTCCCATCCATTTTTCTCTGGTTCTTATTTACGGTTATTTTCGTTTATTTGATTGTTTCAAACGCCATCCCTTTTATTTCCCAACTATTTTTGACACCATTTTCTTGTTAAACCAACCACAGAACATGACAGCTCCAAAAATAATAAGCTTTTGAGGACGTGGTGGCGGATTAAATTACAAGTTTAACCTTATGGTCTTCTCCCAAAGACCTCGTACCAAAATGTAGATGTATTCCTTACTTGTAAATCTACCATCATTCCCTAAATTAGTTAATGTGGAACTTCATCCCCTGAAGTCTATGAAGCCCTCGAACAGCCTCCCCTTAATCGAGACTCGACTCCTAGTTAATGTGGAACTTCATCCCCTGAAGTCTATGGAGCCCTCGAACAGCCTCCCCTTAATCGAGACTCGACTCCTTTTCTAGAACCCTCGAACAAAGTACAAAGTATACCCTTTGTTCGACTCTTGAGTCACTTTTGACTACACCATTGAGACTCACAACTTATTTGTTCGACATTTGAGGATTTTATTGACATAGTTAAGTCAAGGGTATAACTCTAATATCATGTTAGGAATCACGACTCTCCACAATAGCATGATATTATTCACTTTAAGTAGTCAGTTTGGATTGCCCAAAAGTCCTCATTAACGGAGTAACCTTAATAAGGGTATTTTTGTAATTTTTCTTTTTTTTCTGGGGTTAAATTACAAGTTTAACCCTATTAAAGTTTTTGGAAGTTTAAAAGTTTAAAGGTAAGGTTTATTAAAATTAAGATTATTTACTATTTCGACCTTTAAAAATATAAATAAAAACGATAATTAAACCGAAAATAAAATATAAAGGAAAAACTCATTCCCTTTCGACTGATCGCGCTTCCACTTCACTGCCATAGGACGAATAGAACTCATCGTCGGTATTAATTTCCGTCTCCTTCAACTCCTCGATCTTCTCCACCGCCTCCTTCAATCCCCACCGTCGATCCTCATCCTCTTCGCTGCAAATCATTCCGATCCGCAACAGCCGCACCATTTCCCCGTCTTCATTCTTCGTTCCCTTCATCATATAGCCGTCGAAAACCTCCGCCGTCCACTCCTCCCGCACTGCCGACTTCACCCAAGCCGCCAGGTCGCCGTTGGCTGCGCCTCCTCCGTGCCGGAGATAGTTCGCCGGGAACTTCCCGGTCAGAAGCTCGAGGATCAGGATTCCGAGACTCCACACATCGGTCTTTCGGGATACCCGACGGTGCCTGATGAACTCCGGCGACTTGTACGCGGCCATGTATTGCTGTGCTTGATCCTGGCACACCAAAGGGTCGAGACCGAAGTCGGTTAATAGAGGCTCGTAATTGCTGTTGAGAAGAATGTTGGAGGATTTTAAGTGGCCGTGTGGTAGGCTCAGGCTCGGTAGCTCGCTGTGTAAATGGGCCAGGCCTCGGCCCACTCCTTTGATGATCCGTAGCCGTGTGGGCCAGTCTAGCCCAATATTTTCAGGCGTGCGCTGACCTGGAATATTTCAAAAATATCTTTTTAATTAAAAAAAAACGTGTATATTCTAGGTAGATGTCATTTTTAAAAAATATTATTATTATTTTAAATTAGAAGTTCAAATCCCGGTTAAAAAAAGAAAAAAGAAAAAAACCTTAAATTAGTATTTTTATTGTCCATTTCAAATTTAAGAGATTCGATTAAAAAAAATAAAATAAAATAATCAATTATTTGATGTTTCTAAAATTATTAGATTAAGAAAAATATTAGGAAAAAATGGTCAAATTTAACTATTATTTTTGGATGATGAAAGTCTCGACTAATATAGAGAATGGTAATGGGTTTATAATCAAATAATACTCTCTTCATTGGTACGAGACCTTTTAGAGAAACTCAAAGCAAAGCCATGAGAGCTTATAAGAGCTTATGCTCTAACATGGTATCAGAATCATGCTCTATACTTAAGAAAATGAGTTAACCTTCCTCGAAGGCAGTCAACAAATGACTAAGACTCTAAAGGAGTCGAGTCTCGATTAAGGGGAGGCGTATTTTGTTCGAGGGGAGGTGTTGGATGATGGAAGTTCCACATCGGCTAATTTAGGAAATGATCATGGGTTTATAATCAACTTCGGCTAATTTAGAGAATGATCGTGGGTTTATAATCAACTTCAGCTAATTTAGAGAATGATCGTGAGTTTATAATCAACTTCAGCTAATTTAGGAAATGATCGTAGGTTTATAATCAACTTCTCCTTTGGAGAAGTCCAAAGCAAAGCCATGAGAGCTTCGTGTTCATCTAACAATTATAATATATATTTTTTAAAAAATGAAAAAGGAAATAATTACAAAGAGGCATTTAATTCGAATATTAGATGGGTTGAAGATCATACATACCGTGGCCATGAAGATGATGAGCCAAGTTGCCATTCCCCATGAACTCAGAAATCAAAAGCTTATCTTCATTTCTATAATAGAAAGCCACGGGCGGAAGCAAATTGGGATGTGAAATTATCCCCAACCTTTTCATGTGCTCAAGAAACTCTTCGAACCCAACGCATCTCATGGGCCGAAGCCTCTTTACAACCACTGGAGGCCCATTTGAAAGTAGGGCCTTATAAGACGACCCAAAGCTGCCGCCGCCCAGAACTTCCGCCGGGGCCCTCAACAGCTCCTCCAAGTCAAAGAAGGGGCTATCGGCCCTCACGAACTGCAGCTTCGCATTTTCTTCTGTCGGCGCCTGATATTGGGCCTTTTCCAGGCCCAATTGATCCTGGGCTTTTGAGTTTTGAGCTTGTTCTGCCGCCGATAACAGAGCCCTCCGGCGGCGGTAGCGGTGGTACAAGACGATGACGGCTACCAAGACGATTCCGACGGTGACTCCGGTGAGGATGTACCACTTCTTCGGAGACTTACATCGGCTCAGAGGCTGTCCACATAAATCTTTGTTCCCTGTAAAAGACAAATGAAATTTTTTAGGTTCAACATTTAATTATAAGCTTAATAATTTACAGATATTTTAATCAAAATGTTAAGATACAAACAAAGTTTTATGCACTTGAAATTTAAAATCACAAAATATTGTATTAAGCTCATATTAATTTAACATTGTTTATACAACCTATACAAAGCAAGATTGTAAATAGCTGGATTTCAATTAATTTTGTCCAAAATTTGATCAAATATTTAACTTTAAAATATTTATTTAATAGAGAAAATGGTAATTATGTCACTCCAATGAAGCAATTAAGTACTAACTAAAGATAATTATGAATCTAAATAAATTCCAAAGAATCCAAAAAGTTAACAATAATCTCTAAATTGAATAATTTTAGAACCTTAATCCCTCATTTAATAACTATTTTATTTTTAGTTTTAGGTTTTTGAAAATTATACTTTATTTATAAGTTTTTAGTAAATTAATCTTATTATTCCTAAGGAATGGAATGTTTCGTTACCGAGGTGAAATCTCACAATCCATCCCAATCCAATGTTTTCGCTGGCACTCGTTCCCCTCTCCAATCGATAGGGAATCTCACAGTAGTTTAAACCAATTAATCTATGATCTATTGAGTTGTCCATTAAAGACCATCGTTACTTACTCGAAAACTTAATCAAACTTAAAAAAAAAAAAAAAAAAAAAAAAAAAAAAAAAAAAAAAAAAAAAAAA